AGGTTGAGGATCCGCGCGGCTGGCGACATGCTGCGAAAAGGGGTACCCTGTGTCGGAGGTGGATAGTTTAATTCCTGGAATCAAAAGTTAGTTTATTTTAATGTGTAGTTGTTGTTTAAATATCGACGTTGCCATGGTAGGCTACGCGGGAAAACACAACTTGGCGCCAGTTTACGACTACCTCGTCGAGCGGATACGCAGCGTGGACGAGCGCAAGTTCATCTTCTTTGAAGGCGTCACGTGGAGTGTGATTGGGACGGCGAGAGCAGACAGCTTCGCCGGTCCGGGCTTCAAACGCGTCCCCGGAGGTGACAAATTCCCCCAAGAGTATGGACGCAGCGTATTCTCCTACCACTACTACTGCCCGCTCATTGAAATGGCAAACACAAGTCATAATTTTTCAAACTATCAGCGCATTATATGCGACGAGGTTAGTTATGATTGGATAAAAGTTTGCCCTTTCTCAGCCAATAGCCGACTAGCATGTTCAAGAGCGCCCAATTCAATGTGTCTTGGGTGGCCTTGACCCAGTTTTATGTCTATTAAGATAAGTATTTGGAAATTATGACTCCCCGAAATGCCCACAAGATCAATCTTTTAACTGTTTTGGCTTGTGTGTAATTTATAAAATGGGCACAAAATAATATGGTCGACCAGTTGTTGGTCGATTTAAAATAACCAACTTTAATCCACAGAAATTTTTTCGCAGCTTATAATGCCAAAGATGTTCTACTCGGTCAAAGGCATTGCAAAACAACTAAAAAGCGGTCGATTTTTAACCGAATTTGGAATATGCGTTCCTGACGGTAATCCGAAATCAATCAATACGATCGAGTGCAACGCGGTTATGAATGGCGCTGATGCGAATCTTCAGTCGTGGACCTATTGGGACTCGCAATTCTTCGACACCGACGACAAGCCAATTATTAACCAGGCAAGTCTGCTTTCACGTCAATTTTTTCGTCTAATGCGAACGCAATCAGTGAATGTCTCGATGTGTTGAAGCATATTGCAGCAGTGATTGGAGATAATTAGACTAAATAAGCCTGAAAAAGAAGATTGCTACTTTAAATAACATGCAGCATTAGTGGGAAGAGAGTAGAAACCAATAATTGTCTTCTTGTTCGTGTATAGGTGAAACCATTTGCGCGATTCTACCCAATGGCGACTGGTGGCACCCCTATAAACCTCAAATTCGACGTTGCCACAGGATCAGGTTCCTATGCCTTCTTGACAAACGAAGTGACTGAGGCACTGAGCAAACAGGGAAAGGCGATAGCAAGCATCTTTCTGCCGCTGGAGTTGTACTATCCTCAAGGCTACGAGGTAGACGTGGTGCCCAGTACATTTACCTACAGTGCCTCAAATGTCAATGATCATATAATCGAGGTGTTTGCGCCTGCAGATGGAATTATGAAGGATGTTGTGGCAGAAATAAATGTTCGCCCCACACAAATGCCTCGCATAAACCATTTAGCAATGTTGATTTAAACGAAAAATAAAAATTTATAATAAACCGTCTTATAAATAGGGATTTTTTACCGGTGGGCAAAGGTTCGGTTTTCTGTGAAATATTTGCCTGCCCAAAACCTGAACTACGTGTTGCAAACCAGTGTCTATTTTCGACAGAAATTCAAAAAAATTTGCTTGTCGAATTTTTCTAGGACTGAAATGTTGGTTTAATTTTGCAATCATTGTTCGTCCATCGCCTAATTAATTAACACTAACGTAATTATCCTTTATAATTTCATTGATTCATTGGTTGTACTTGCAAAAATTAATTAACTGTTATTTTTTCATTTTGATGGAATTTTTTTGCAGTAAATAAAAACAGAATTTGAAAAAACTTATGAATCAGTACCATTTGAAATCGTCAATTTGTAGTCAACATTTGAGGTCCAGCATAGTTCACGCTAAAATATAGAGTTTTTTTAAAAAAAGGGCTTTCATGAAATTTTAGGAATTGCGTGAATATTTTGTACACAGGTCTTGGTAATCGGAATAGATACACATTTTCTTTACATTGTCAAGAATGGTAAAAGTGAGTAAGTCTAGAATGTAATATAGTTTACTACATTCGACTGCACATCTTTTAATTTAAGTGTTTTTTTCTTTTCGCTGTATGTAGAAATCTAACTTCCCACTTTTAAAGAGCAATTTCGGGATAGGTTACAAAAGAAGGATTCACTATGAAATTTAAACATATCTGCAAAACCCTTTTGTAGACAAAAGGAAATTTTCGCAGACAACATTTAAATTAGAAATCATATAACGAAATGCATATCTGCCTTTAAATTATGATTTATTACTGCTGTCATTTATCATATGTGTAATGTTGTTGCCTTTGGAAGACCATATGAACTGTGGGATTTGAAAAGAGAATGGAGGTAACTAGCATTACGTCAACAAGGATCAAATCTTTCCAAACTGAAACACTCTATATTTTAAAACTAAAACGTTTGTTTGGGTTATGACTCCAACCATTTAGGCACATCGGGTTCAAGGGAATCTAAGTCTGATCAACCTTTCCAGAAACAGGCATGTGAATGTGATATCAAGCTGACGTTTAGCGTGATAACCATGCGTCTCCTATTGGTTAATAACAAGGCGGCTTTCTAAAAGCCGTGTGGTTAAAGTTTTGGTGAGCTTGCCTTGATTTTTGTATGTTGTAGTTTGGTGAAATCCAGTAAGAGGATCATTTTAATAAATAAATTAGTTTTCCACATTTCGATGTTATTAAGTACTTGCCGTATAAAATGGCTCTTTGCACGTGACTCCGTGGCCTGCGTACCTGAATCCAATCACTGTAATATTGTCGCCTGGAACTTGATGATACATTATTAAAAATTAATTGCAGCCAAAAAGTGTATACTAATGCAAAATTATGTAAAATTAAGACGACTAAGTTCTTGTTGTGACGACTTGGTTTGGTTTTCTCCACATAATTGTATTTCAACGTCTTTTTTAGTAAATGGGGAACCTGCAGTCTAGTTCTAACACTAAACGTTTGCGAATCTCCTCTAATAGACAGAAATCACCCACCCGTGCGCGTTCCCACAAATCTGGTACTAAATGCCAATCGACCGCCTCTTCTGCTTCATGCTGTGAAAAAGTACGCCTGAATTTCTTTTTGAAAAGTTTGCCATCTCTAAGAGGAGTAGTCGATGGGAAATGTATAAATTTTACAATGCTTAAGCAATTTGTTCCGCAAACTTTTACGTATAGTCTTAAATGAGTTTCGTTTGGCGTGAAGAATTTGACCGCCTTTTTGGAATTATCTGGTCTAGTACCTTTTTTGCTACTATCTCTCAATCATATTTTATTTTTTGCTGCATATTCTTCTACTTTCACTTCAAACAAAATAAATGACGTTTAACCGGATACTAACGTCAAAAACTACACCCGGTACTATTATTGACATTGTCTCCTTATTCTTTGCAAAATGCTCACTCAACCTTTTTGTTTCCCAAGTGCTCATGTAATCGTGCCATCGTAGTCGACGTATTTTTTAAATTCTCAAACCCTTGACATCAGTCTCCCACTAAATGTTAAGCTCTTGCATTGTGTATCGCAGGGTCATCTATGTAGAATCGGATATCGTAGTGGCCGTTGAAGATATATGGCTTTTATTATATTTACCATGAAAGGTTGTTAAAGAAACTAGCGTCTGCGTTATCCTTTTTTAAACTAAGTTTACTACCTCTTAGCTGTGTTTAATCACCATAATGTGGGCTGAATCGTACTCTGGCCTTACGTTATTTAAAACAAACCACTTTAGCTTGAATACTTACTTGTAACCCCACCTAGTACTTGAATCAGCTGGAAATCTGGGTGTTGTTGTTTAGTAAACACACTTTTCCAACATTAGTGAACACATAGGTCAATCACACAGACATCTGTCCAGTCAGCTTTGTTGTAGGCACCGTGTTCGTAGTTGCCTCGCTTATTTGTCTCTCACTTTTGTAAGAAAAACGTGCCCCCCTCGCATAGTGGTGACTTCGTACCGTCATCTACGCGAAGCCTTAAGAAGGCGCCTCGATCGGTGGATATCTCCTTGCCGTGTTCAGTCACCTACGTCAGTGGTGATATACCGACTTCAGCGGATGGCGGTTCCAAGAAATCCAAAAACCGAAACTCCCTACAGAAACAAGGTAAACAATCTCCAGCCTCTATTTTACTTTTCAAAGCCAATTTTCATTCGGGTTGTTTTATTAAGTCATATTTTAATAACACCATAGTTTCCCTTGTAGCTTCGAAGAAGTCTAGCAAGGCCCTGCATTTCCCGGTCAAGTCATCCCATAACTTGACCACCCTGTCTTTCGATGGTGGTGTCGGCAATAATCGATTGTCACTGCCCCCAGCCACCCAGCACCATCTGGACAGTCCTCGTTCTCCCAGTCGCCTTGTTGCCCACCCTTATGCTCGGCCGAACTCTCTTGCTATCCATGGAATTCATTCACACGGTGATTACACTCTACGTTTGTTGTTCAATTTAATTCCCAATCCCAGCACCCCGTATTGGTAGATTATCAGCCAATCGGATTCCACGACAGAGGCTCAACTGATTGGCTGTTGTTTCGTGGTTCCCATTTGTGCATAACAAGGTCATTTTAATCACGTTGATTAATTGGACGCAACAACCTTTGCTACTCGTGCCCGACTGCATATAGCGCGCCACCAAGTCGTATGAGCCGACTGTCATGTGTGTGTGTGTGTGGAATTTTCCGATTAAGCACTTTAAGCTTACGCCACACCCTTCTTAAAACTCAATGTAACGAATCGCAACACATGTATCTAGAATGAGCGTGTGAAAACGCTTCTAGATGTGAATTTTCGTTGTCAGTAGGGCGGTTTCAGCGTAAATTTTGACTTATATAACTGATTAGAGTGTACCAATCGAAAACATTATGGACGAGTGTTTGCAATGTGTCTTTTTTTAAAGTTACGGGTAATTGCACACTGCTGAGGCATCCTTGAAGTATTATGGAAGAAGGTAAATCGATTTCCGACGCTGATTTGACCTTCAGGAGTGTGTTTAAATCAATCCGATGATAAAACCTACCAAGGTCAAGGCAACTGGTCGACCAATCACTCTAAGCCTAAATAAACCGCCTTACTGGCTTCTTTTCGAAATCAGACATATCAGGAAGTGTGTCGTCGAGTTGTCGCCTCGGCAAATCCACTCTCCGGTCAATTGCATCCGGTGACCTGATGCTGGATTTTCCCGACTTGACACCCACTCCTGAAGCCGACCAATCAGTGTTCTTTCCCGTCCCGGTGGACAGTAACCCGGACGGCCTTGGCGCGCACCAATCAGAGTACAGTGTTGGAAGTCTGGGGTGAGTTTTAATTGGTCACAGAGATGGTTTCGTCCTCTCGTGGGTGCCCGATTTTACTTTAATTGTGTCTCAGCGTAATCACGAGTCACCTTTTTCGTGGTATTGTGAGGGCTTACGAAAACGTCGGTCTTGTGACCAATACGATTTTTTAAACCGTGGTTGGACAGTTGGGAAGTGGCCTAGTCACTTTGAAAGTGACTACTTCCGTCTAAACGATTACGTAAGCCCAGGGAAGCTTCCGGCTTTGACGATGACCTTGTCTGTGACTTGGCGAATGAGAATCAAAATCGATGCTACAAATCTTGACGCTAAATGGATTCCCCCCTGCTCGCCAACAAAACGATCATTTCTTAGATGTAGTCACATGTCGAGCTGGCACATGGAGGCGTGGAAGTGAACAAGCTAGCTCTGTAGCAAAGACTGGATTTGGGCATTCAAAGCTAAAAGTGTTGCTACGTGATTGGTAGGGGAATGGTGCTTTACTAACTGTTGTGGGCCCCAGCATGTGGTCTTGAACCACACCGGGGACCACGGAATTAACCCTGGCCCGATTACGCTTCCCTGATACCCGCGGTGAAGAAAAAGATCGGAGAGAACGTGGACACAACCGTTTACTTCAGAGCTCGACCTCGTTGGGGTCGTTGTGTCGTGTGTGGGGTTTGCGCGTGTGTATTTACACCTCGGATGTGTGAGTCATACATGCGCTAACATTGAGACCTAGGTGTGGGGATGCTCCAAGATGAATATTCGTGTGAATGAGGGGAGGGGGTTGAGGATCCACGCGGCTGGCGAAAGCTGCGAAAAGGGGAACCCTGTGTCGGAGGCTGAAGCAACCGCACTAAGGAGTGTGCATAAACAACCAATAACAGCGGAGAGGTTTTACTGAGCAAGTCGTCAAACTCAATGGAGATTCTCTGCCGAATGTAGTTCCATGTGGAAAGCACTTGATTCAAGTGGACTGGTCTATCGCACAACTGTCGATCAAACCGCTTGTTCTTCTTTTTCAAAGGCGTCTCAAGTCGTTGCCTGGAGGGACGTATCCATTTCGTCGTCGTTGCACCTCGTCGATGTCGACGGCGTCTCAGAGTCGTCAACGCAGCCGCTGGCGACAGTCTGGAACACCTGTCGCGGACGCGCCGCCACCCGTGACCACGCCGATAACCTGCACCCTCGTGCTCAACCCCTCCGCGGACAACTCGGCCAAGTCCTTCCCCTTTCCGGATGGAACGGCCTACATGATGTCCAGCGAGCAACACCGCAACGTCGACCAAGTCCTCTGCACCACCAAACTCCTGCTGCACAAATTGAAGCGCCTATTGAATGAGGTAGGCGTCGAGCCCGGTCTGTCGTCTTCCAGCGTGGGGGGAGGGGAGGTGAATTCGCCTCTCTGACGCCTTGTCTGGTCGCTAACCCCAGCAACCTGCTCCCAGCAGCATTAATTTTCGCGCGCGCGCGCCCGTTTTCGTGAATCAAAACAACGAATTGGTATTTTCTCGCACTCTCTCACACACACAAGAAACATCCGTCATTTGTGGCTTGCATGATTGCGGTGTGCGGTTTGTGTACACGGTGGTCTGACACCCAAGCAGTCACCGAACGCGTAACTGCGTAGTTCCAGCTTCCTACCATACATCGCCGTAGATTTCGGAGTTAATCCAGTTTGCGCGCCACTGCAAGGCTTTGCGGTAGCTTTGCATCACTTTGGGACAAATGAATGCCAAAATTTGACAGAGAACTCTGATTTGTCCGCGTTGTTTTACTGCTTTGTGTCGGTAGGCGAGCGCAATTTTCGAAATCGGCCGTGTCACTACAAAATACGCACTTAGGTTGTTGCGCGTCCTTCACACCCTATCGGTCCCACATTCTGCCATCTCGTGGGAGTGTGCTTTGGTGGTGAATAAGTCACGCAGTCAGCCGAATTTACTCTACAAATCTCCTTTTTTTCACGTGTTCCAAGAACCAAGCATATTTGGAGCCAGTTTCAGACGGTGGATTTGAGTTAAACCAATCACCTCTCGCCGTTTGGCCAGTCAGGCTATCTATTGGCTAATCTAAAGTCCCATTCTGATTCGTTCTTAGAATCATGCCGTAGACCAAATTTTTTGAGTCAAATGCTGTGGCGGTAACCAAGGCGACTCAGATCGCTGAACCTGTGTTTGTAGATACTTTAATTGCGTCATTATATACCACATCTGTCCCATGCCCAATCACACAACCAATGGCAATTAAGCAATTCGCTGATGCGTTTTTTGGCAGCCGTGTTAGTTTGGACAAACTGTCACTATTTTGCGTCTAATTCTTCTTACAGAATACGGGGCACCTGCATCCGTTTGCGGAGCAGCTAGAAAATCGACATCCCGTTTCTCCATCGGTATGTGTCCTCACTTTCTGCCCAAATTTTGAGTCATATTTTCACTCTAACCTTAATCTCCACTTAAATGCTCCGCCGCAATCGGTGACCTTGACCTGCAGCCAATCGTTTCTGTGTTAGCTGCGAATCATCCCATTTCTCAACTCTTGTTGAATTGCATGATTTGTGTTTTAGTTTGCCGAAGAACGCCAACCCAGCTTGGAGACGTCCTTGTTGAAGCCAATCACAGCACGAGCAGGGTGTGTCGGTACCTCCTGCCAACCTCCTGCAACCTCGATTTCAGCTGATCTTGAATTTACAAACCTCGAAGATGCTATTGCGGTTTGTTGTGACATTGATATATTTCCTTCCTCGTGATAATGGCTTGTATAACACGATATTCTAACCATGTTAGGAGATCCAAAGGCTCAACCTTGAAAATACCAAATTGAAAGAAGAACTGGCTAAAAAGGACCAGATTATTCTGAGTTTTCGACAACAATAGGCAAGTTTTTCTGTACTCTGGTGCCATTTTTCTACTGGTGCGATTAATTCAATTCCTAATGTAATTGGCGCATCGAATTACTTCATCCAACTACCACGTGGCAGGTTGGAGTGATTCTATTGGTTAAAATCTGACCAATCATTGCACCCGGCCTAATTTACCCATCACGAATTGTCTTTGCACCAATCAAATGCTCACTTTTTCGATAACGTCTTGTACTTTTCTATTCCAGCACAACCCTGGTGGATTGGACCGTCTCGCTATTCCGCGACTGTACTCACATTTGACTGCCCCATGCCCGTCCAACATTCCTTTAAAATTCTTATTTTTACAAACCACGTTATCTGTACTGTTATCTTGTTATTTTTTCTTGCCGATTGTTAATGATTATCACGCTCACTACCAGTCTTGATCTGTCAATTTTGTCTGTGAAATCTCGGCTTAGTTGCATGTTGTAGAGGTGGATATTCCCAGTGTTCCTTAGTCGTAGATAATAACTTGTCATTTTAATAGCTAATTCGGAGGAATTCCTAATTTGCCCATGAACGCGATGTGTCCGTGAGCTAACCAGTCACGTTCGCCGCAGGCATACCTGATTGCGCTTCATCCCTTAATCCCACTGTGTTCCCATTCCGATGTCGTGTCTTGGAATCTGTTGTCTGTGGCTGATAGTGGTCTTATTGGCAGGGGAATTGTGCACTCACGCTCAGTTTTCTCCCCAGGGACCAATCAAATGACGCTCCTCTTCAATAAGAACCTCCTGCTGACTGCACGTCTGATTCGCTCCAATTCCCGCCCATTTAGCGCTGTCACTCGGCTCAAACCACTCAGGAAGCCGGTGGAGGCAGAAAAGCCGCCCAAGGACACGGGTGCCTCCGCTACCGCGGTCGCACAACTCAGCCGAGCTGAAATCGACTTCCTAACCAAGCAAATCGGTCATCCTGAGGACTGGCAGCTCGTCTACAGGCTTCGTGCGATGCCCTTTGCCCAGGTTGGTTGTCGTCTCTCGACCAAGCACCCACCCTGACCAGATTTCGGCCTAAACGCGCGCGTCTTTCCTGCCTCCTAGGCTTTCTCCAAGTTGAAGCTCCTGCTGACTTTCACCCTGGTCGCTGGAACGCCTATCTCCATCGCATGCCACCTGGCCGACTGGGTCGGTTCAGATCTGTGCTACTTCCTCTTCGGTGCCTCCGTGTTCTCGCTCTGCACCCTCTGTGTCTTCAGCTACTTCTCCACTAAAGTCATTGGAGTGGTGGGTCAGATTTCCCTGAAATTGTTCTTACGAGAGTTTGGGAGGGATGTGGATGTGCCACTTACTAGAAAGGGATCATTGCTGTTGAATCAGGCAATATACTTGAAACCTGCTCGTTTTAGCTCAGCCTTCACAAGTCCACAGGACTGCTGCGTGTGGGGTTGCTAAATTTTTGGGGCAACCGCAGAAACATCCTAGTGCAGCCGGAGCAGATTCTACCGCCCGACGACCTGAGCAACACCTCACGCCGAACTGTTCGCGTGGGCTTGGTTGGCGACGCGGCGTCCCCCGAGTACACGACGATGCGGTCGCTCTACCTCACCAGGGTCACCGGCGAGATCAGAAACAGGGAATTGTTCAGCAAATTTGTCGGCAATTTCTGGTGATACCGGCACCTTGTGTGCGTCTGTACAAAGTGAAAAATCTTTCTTGTGAATTGACACCTCGTGTACGGTTGTTTTAGTCGTTGAATTCACCTGGCGCGACGTTTGATCGACCGGCTGCAATGCTACCGATCTCCATGTGATCTTAACCAATCGTCTTAGTGATTTTAATTATCTTGAGTAAAATGCAGCTATTCTTTCCAAAATTAAGGTGTAGCAGCTTTTCTACGGCAGCAAGGTAGCAAAACAGTGGATTTCTGTGCTCGATTGCGGTTTTTAGAGCAAGTTATTTGGCACATTTGGCTTACACAATAGTTAAGCACTGTTCCCACGACAATAACTGAAATTGTACTGGGAATCAGACGCTAGCTGACAACAGGAAGTCACAAACTTCATAATGACTGGTTGCATTGTTCACGCAGTAGACCTTGCAAACCCGCACAGAATTTCCGCAATTTTCAACTTGTGTCTACCGTCCAATCAGGTAACTGATCGTGTTTGAACCCAGAACTGTGGCCTTGAGTTGTGTTCACGCATTCCAAGTGGCTTCCAGACAACTTTTGAATTTGAGATTGCGTCCATTTTTGTGCGAGCCTTCATATTGGAATTGTGGGGAAAATTTAATTAACATTTATATTCGATGCCAGGTCATTGCTCACACTACTAACTCAACAGTAAATGTACACCAGCCTCACATCATCGATTAAAAACCGCTCAGGCACTTATAATTGAGCGCATTGGAACGTGTCTACAACTTTTGCCGTGGACTCAGCTGCTGCTCACATATTTGGTAGCGACTACAGGTTTCTGCTCAAGCTATTATCCTGTTCTGGAAAGCGAGAAGATCCGAGTATTTGCACTCAGCCTCTGTCCCCATCTCGGCAGTGGTACATTCACCTCCAGTTTGACAACAGTCAGTTTGATAAATTGAAAACCAAAATCAAATGCCTATTGAACTGTTGCCTCGAATTTTCCTGTATAATAAGTACCTGGTAGTGTATCTGGAAGCGTGGCTTAATGGAGAGAAACGCTATCAGGAATGTACTTTAGTTTATCGAAGCTGAAACGATGAAAAGTGGGCTTTACAGTGACCAGTCAACTAAAGCAGCAGCCACTGGTTTTTTCGACATTGGGATTTTCGAAATGAATTCAGTTTGAGAAGAGTTCTCTGACCTTTTAATTCTAACTTTATTCATGTAACACGAAAGCTACTTATGAGTGTTGGTAACGAATTTTTCGATATTCTTATCTAAATAAACGCGTCGACGTGGACGCTACTTATTTTACATTTTATGAAAGCAAAGTAGTAAGCGTTGGAAGTATATCTGTGGTTCCCGTGCAACGAAATAAACAAAATCTGGAGCAAAAATGTAACTTGAGGGCGATATATGCACTTAGATGTGTGCCAATGCTGTCAATTCCAGGAGCTACTTTTGTGCGGGAGTACTCGCAGGTTTGAGATACCACTTTTGGACCATTCAGGGTATGCAATTCACACACCGATTTTATCTGCTACGATTTCAGTATTAAAAAAGCATGATTTAGGTCGCTTACACCCCTCACAAAAACAAGTCAAATATCATAAAACCTTTAAGTTCTTGGTGTTACAAAAGTTCCCAACCTTAGTCACAAAACTGAGATATTTTCAAATCTTTGAGTACTTTACTTCTGCAAAAAATTGGGGCGACCATCGATGTGTGGATTCATTAAAATTTTGTGGTGGCTTTCCGTAAATACCGGAAAATTCCTTAATTCTAGTTATTTTCATTCATGTTAATAAAAACCGTTGATGATAGAACAAAATTCTACTAAACATGGCTTTAAGAAAATGATGTCTGCCCATCGAAAAATCTGATATTTAAGTGTAAAATATTCCAAATATTCATGGATGATAAAGTTAATGATAAATATAAGGCAGAATTATGTATTCCATTATCTGAATATGCTGTCCATATTAATGGCATTGAAAAGTCCAGGAAAAGTTAAGACTGCTAAACTATAAACGCCTCTAAGCTAGTCAGTAGGGTATAAAGACATCTCTTTAATTTGAAATGCGTGACATCGATCATCATGCATGCATTGCGTTGGCTTGCTAATGGCCATAGCTGTTGTGCCATCTGAAAGTTGGTCAAATTAAGTGCAAATGTACGATGATAGGACTGCTCTAGTAAGATGCCACTCAGTCAATTCTGTAGGCTTGGAACAACACGCCATTTTCATTCTCGCATTAAAGATACTAGCGGCACTAATAATTATAGTGAGGCTATCATTAATAAAAAAATTTCTATTGTAAAAAGTTGGTGACCACGTTTCGTGCAAGAATAATAGCAAAAGTAAAATTATGATGCACATTAACAAAGACCCTAATTAAGACAACTTGAGCTTTGCTGTTTTTAAGACTAGAATTAAATGGACTTATAGACCAACAAATCGTCAAGGAATCATTTCATGCATAATAACACATTTTAGAGACACAAATAACTGGTCAGGTTATGCTTTTTTAACTGCAAAAAATATATAAAAGCAGAACCTCATTAGATACTTGAAATAACTTGTTTTAATTTTCAGTTGTGCAGTAACCAACTTGACCTTATATTCAACAAAAATTTGATACTGCCTCAGAACTATTCATTGACTTGGCTCTGGTGGTAAACCAAAATAGCATTTGTTAGAGCCTTGTTTTATTTCATAGACTTTAAGTAGTGACTGCATTTTGCTTTACCTTTATGACTAAACTTAAAAATTGTCGTTTATGCGCTTAATGTAGTACGACGTCGAATTTATCTTATGATTTCTATAAGCAATGCCTCTGTGTTAATTGACTATCGTTAGTTGTAGAAAAACGTTAATCTACGTAGTTACTCAGTTTACCCTTTTAAATTAGATTTTTTTGCATTCTTGGAGTGCTTTCATGGCCTTTACCTCATTTATTGCCTTTTAATTGGTGTACTAGACGCTTCTTAACTCATTTTTAGATTAAAAAACAATGTGCACTGTAGGCGGACAATCGTTGATTATTAACCATTACAAAACAACTAATCAACAAACTTATGGCGCTTACTGGGAGGGATTTAATCCCACTATTACAGTTTCTCGTCGCCCTGGCTACGTTTATAGTGTCCGGCCAGCTACATACTACAACCCTGGCATTGACGTCCTCGATAAAATAGGAACAAAGTAGGCTTTTTACCTTTTTTTCATGTTAAGCTTATCTAATTCTGTTCATTGTAACTACCCAATACTGTCTTCTAAAATGCTTAGAAACCTGAATTGGCAAACATGACGATTGTCGTCTTAGTAAATCAATGCCAATTAAGCGACCACGATTTTGTAACCAACTATAAAAAATAATTTTTTGCGTATATGTTAAACTAGTTCTTCATTAGTATTAATACACGTATATTATCTGCGGTTGGTTCATTTTTGTTCAAACCTTTGCGAAGTTTAGCGAATGGTTTTATATTCTTCATGTCGACTAAATTTAATTTGTGTTGGAAACATTCACTCCAATTTCTACCTGAAAAATAAATAAGAATATGTATTCAATGTGCAAAGCTATGTTCTGAACATATCACGATCATCAAAATGATTCTTTTTGACATGGGGGAGGTTACGTGTCCAGATTATGCTTGAACATTATAGATGCGCATTAAAAAGTGTGTACACCACGACGAACCATGTAGACTTCAAAGACTGCAATCGAAGTCAATTTGACAAGATTATACCAGCCAACTGCTACAAACCAAGTGACGTCATGCAACAAGGCGTGTATCGTGGATGGTTTACGAGGCAGGTATGCTTATTGTTTTATAGTTTTACCTCATTTATATTGAAACAATCTAGTCTTCTGATGTTTCCTTCTTTAGTTGTCAAACTTATGCCATTCGGATAAGTGCAAGATGCCAGAAGGTGATCCAGAGGCTAGATATCGACCGCTGCTCTGGAGAGTCCTTAACAAGGGTCCAATTGAACGCGAGAACATGTACAGAGTGGGTGTCTGAGCTTTATATAACCCTTTCCATTCACTTAGGGCCTAGCGCCTTGGTCGACTGAGTATAATTCAAATTATTCGCCCAAAACGTTTGGCATAGGTAAGTGTTTGTTAAACGTACAGCAGGGCGTCTTTGTGTGCTTGTGACCAATAAAAAGCAGGTGTGGGTGGCAACCAATGAGATTCCCGTGACGGGCTTGGTAGCCAATTACCGTCAGATTTGCTATTTATGATTTCTAAAATAGGTGCGTATTATCGATTTCAGATACGTGTGCCTTCGACGACACTCAGGTGGGGGTTCCTGAGTCCACGGGTTACGTAATCAATAAAAAAACGGAGGAACCTTTCCTCTACCAGTCTCCACCACTACCCATGGCTAAAACATCCTACACTCTGGAATTTAGACCCTACCGTCCGCGCACGGTGGATGTCCACACGGACGGAGGTCCCAAAACCGTTTTGCCCGACGGCTTCTCTATCGGCAACAAGGCGGATGTTGACTTCATGCCACTAACTGACAAAAATGTGAGTTACGTTTACCTATCTACTGACAAATATTCAGTAGGTCGTCTGTTTTAGGAATTATTATTTTGTAGATCCCAAGCTGTTTCGGAGAGAAACTATATGGATGCGCGAGGGAACTCTTTAAACGTGACATGCCAAAATACTGGAATTCGTACCACGCAAGTGCTTTTCCCGGGTAAGTGATATAAGGTCCAATGAGATGCACCAATCAAATCGAGGGTTTCAAATTTAACCAATGAACTGAATGAAACTTTGCAAAATGCACAAAATCACATTGAATGCTCTGTTTTTTTTCCATCTTGCATTTGAAAGCATGTCACAGTGCGACAGACAGGTACGATCGATTGAACGACGCCCAGATTTACCTGACGCGCGTCTGGGCAGGAATTGTAAAGACCTGAAGCCATGCCTTAAGGATGGGACGAACGACGGCTCCATATTCAAATCGGCAAATGTGAGTCTACTTATATTCGCGTATAAGTAGCATGTCAAAAACGCTCGAATGCTAGGCTAGATTGATATTGAGCGCAGATTCTTGCAGTTAAAATCGAATTTTCATTGGCTTGAATAGGCGGGGCAGCGTAAAACGTGCACGTTCGCTGAGCTTGTAAACGTGGATTCTCAACCTCGCAAGGTCACTGGCGGCGTTGTTGGATTGGACAAGTTTGCTCCAAAAGTAGCCACAGCATTTCAACCAGCAGGGGTGCCTGATTATGAGTGCAAGTAAGTGGCGGTTTTTTAAGAACAGGTACTGTGGTCGTGTAAAAAAAAACTATTTACTTATATCATATAAATAACCTTTCCTGTTCAAAAAGATCACTTGTCATCCGAACTTAACATTCGGCAAAATCTTAGCAGGTGACAAAAACCAACAGCAGAATAGACAAAAAAACCAGAAATTGCTGAAGTTAAGTAGAAAATAAACTATTTCGATGAGATTTTTTAATTTATCCAATTGCGTTTAATTTAGGACCGTGTCGCGGCCTGGTGAATTCGCATATTCGTCAGAGAAATGCGTTTGCAGTCCTAAGCAATGAACCTAACTTCTGAGAATATACGCGCAGCAGAAAGAAAAATCTTTTGTTCTTATCTCGAAATAGAGCGTGGACAGGTCAACTGTCATCATAAATTCAGACGCTGAGACAAATGTGTTCTGCATCTTTCTAAATTACTATACAATGAATTCTAAAGTAACTATTACGCTACTTACAATTAGATAGTAGCGGTTATATTATGAACTAGTGGATAAATGTTGACAGCGCAGGTGATCATTGAAATTTGCCAACTGCCACGAACGATATTTTTAGAGAAACCATTGATATATAACAAATCATGACTTCCAGTAATGTCCTGCAGTTCATAATTTTAAATTTTTCCATGACTGAAGCCGCCAATGAAATGATGGTATTTTTGAACATTAGCTTTTTGGGCACAAGCTTTTTTCGAGCGCACTCAAATGACTCAAGGTAGAACAGTTATTGGTTAATATTTGTGATTGGTCGATGTAAATGACGCGGTTGTGTGCATAAGTGGTAAACGAGAATTCTCGCATAGTTCAAAAATCAGAAGCAGAATTAAACACTGAATTAATTTGTGTTCAATTTAGAGCAAAAATCTGATGTAAAGAATAAACATAAAAAGTAGCATTTTGTCGTCAAACCAAAGTATCTTTAATCTGTGATAAAACGCCATTTGACTGTTCCTAGGCTTGCGCCAGCTCACACGCATCCCACCCTACCTCCAATGAGTCATCGTCTCACGAGGAGAAAATTGAATTTTTAAGGAAAAATGAAGCAGCCAGTTGAGTTGCGACAATATGGCCAGGGCAACAGCGTGAATTTAAAATCATGCCGTGTGATTGAAGTCTAATTAACTTCGCATTGGCGACTGTGAGATATATACATAGAATTTGTTTAAACAGGTAATTACTACGGTGAATGAGCGCCAATTCAAACTTCATGACAGACAATTTGGCTTCGTGGGAATGAGCAACAACAGCTTATTTTCATGAAAGTGCATTGGCACAGCCAATTACCTCGCACGAAGCACATTACACCATAGGAGGCACTAAAAATTCACCGAAGAATTCAGACAAGCGGAATTATCGCAGTTTAAATTGCACTAAATGAGTGGCCAGCGGAACAGTTGTTCGACAGCGTGCACGCGCAAGACTGAATCAACCACAGGGAAATTGCGTAGGTAACTGCACGATTCACACACGAACACGCGCACAAACACACAGACACACACAGATCGACTTATTCACGCCAGAATGCACAAATATGCCGCGTTGTGTAACCAACTAACGTACAACCTAGTGCTGTGAGTGACTTTCAAACACGAGAACGAAACCGGCGCGCACGTGTTTCGGCCAATCCCGTGGGGATTTTGAGGGTCAAATTCCATTCCTGGTTTTTTAAACGAATCGGGCTTGAAAAAGGCAAAAGTCGCTTTCACCTGACAAAAAAGCCCCACGCAAAAATGCCGAGATTTGTTTAGTAAATTGAAAAAATGCCTTGCCGCAATTGAATTAAGCAATTAAAACAACTTGCATCCACAAGTGCACGCGCGAACGCAACTCAACGATGGCTCAGAGCAAAATCGATATTTATCGATCAATTTCCAATAACTTTAAACAGCGCACCGAGTCTCGCGCTTCTGATTGCGGGACGTTTCACATCTTCTGCGAGCACTGGTTCACAGATTGTTCCAGAAAAGCGACACATTTCAGAACCGGTTAACTTTTGTAGCGAAAAACAAAAAATGGTGGTTTCGAAAATTGGCAGAACGACACCATCTAAACATCTGGCATTTTGAAAACTTTGGAGGGTTTTTTTCCTGAAATGGAAGTGAGAGCTACCAGCAACCGTACCAAATGTCGCGGGAACGTTAAATTACACACCTTGACAGACGGTGATGCTGATTACAAATTCCACTGCTTACGCTGTCCAATCAAACCACACTCCGACACAACCAATCACGTGCCAGGAGACCGTTTTCCGGTAACTTTAAAACGGTGCATGAAAACTGGTGGCGATGATCTACCATACCAGCAGAGACGGCATCAGCTAAGTTCAGGGCGTCAATAGAAACGCGAACGCGAACCAACTCCGACTAAATTGTTTTAAATTATTGCGCCATCTACGCAACCCAACCCATGTCGCTTATGTGTGCCGATATTCATGATTTGATATTCCGGGGGGTACACGAATGGCACCAGAAAAGGCGAATGCTGATCAGTTTATTGATTTAAAGGAAAAGCACAGAATTAGGGGAGACACGAGGTGCGGTGTGCTGGGGGACTTTGGACTGGGCAAAACTATATGCACGCACACACGCAAAAAACACACGATGACGAAGAGGTTTTTTAGTGGATTACGGCAAAATTTCGACGCAGAATTACTAATGACCGTGAAACGATCTATTAACATGATGCACGCACACACATATATATACGAGGTGTGTGTGTGTGTGTGCCAGTGTGTGTGAAAATGTGAGTATATATAATATACTACAAATTTGAGATGAAAACCAGGCCGTCAGATTGTCATTCGTAAGCGTCATAGGGGTAGACAGAAACGGGCTGATAACTGGAATTAGTTGGACCGTGTCGGTGGCTAAAACCGTAGGCACTGCTGTCGCCCTTGGCGTTAATTTGGTCTGAAAAAAAAACCGAGGAAAACACAGTAAGACATGGGAGCGGAAACGCACACAATCTCAGACACACGAGTGCGTTAGTGGTAAGATCGAGAAAAAAAAACCAAATTACAGGTTAGCCAATCACTACCACGGAAAAAGCAGCAACAGCAACCAATAGAATGCGGTATTAGGTGGCCTTGCGCAGGACCAATGAGAGCACAGGGAGAATTAAGGTAGGCGACCAATCAAATTCAAGGTTGCCAGAATCGCCACGTGATTGGACGATGCTCTCGATGCACACAGAAAAATTGGTAGTGTGTGTGTGTGTGTGTGTTTGTGCGTGTGATTCACGTGTGTGTTTTTGTTAAATCGGCAGTGAGCATGCGCTGATGAGGGGGGTTAGGAGGAGACAGAATCACACGCGCACAATTTCAGAAAAAAAAAACAAACTAGTTACTGCCGTTCGGATGTGTTAGACACTTGCAAACACCAATCACATTATCACCAGAGTCTTACTAAGCAGATGGCTGCAAGAGCATGTAACCGTCTTCACCTGGATTTGTGAAAAAAACGTTACAACACCACCAACAACAACAGCAAACACTCAATCAACACTCACACACCGACAAATGACACAACGATTAAATAAAAACAAAAACCAAACCTGATTTGCCCTTCCTCAATCGATGTTTTCTGAAAAGAAAGGAAAAGAGAAAATGGTTGTAGGAGCATTCGCTGGCCGAGTTGCGGCAGAAAGCGTTTTCGCCTGTCGCGACAATTGATTTGGCGGTAGTCGCGCCGAACAGACTCAAGGTCATCACTCCAGAGAGCAGCGACCTTGAGCAGCCACCAAGTAAACACGACGCGTTACCATTAGCGAATTTTGGGAGAAAACTAATCGTGGCAAAAGCCCTCTCAGGGGGAATGCTGATCGCACACCTTTCCGGAACCCGGCGGAGTGATGGACAGGCAGATTTTCGATTGGTTAGCCATTTACGACAGCAAACATTTGACCTTGGAATAGGCCAATAGAGTGACCGAAGTTGTATGACATAACATTTACACACAGGAGAACCTTCTTCAAGTGGATGACTGGCTTCGGCATCTACCCAAGACAGAAAACGTACCTTCGGCTGCGTGTCTCCCCATCGTCCGAAGCAGGTCGCATGTAGAAACCGTGGTAGGAGATGTAGTCCCTAGGGGGCAACAAAGGGCACGCATAAATCAATCAGGCGGTACACCAGATCCCCGCCAACTCCGCAACTAGTAGCCTAGAGCTGGGAGAACGCAATTCCAGAACTTAGAAATCCGGGGAAACGTCAAGTCGCCTAATTAATGGGCTGACAGTTTCGTGAGATGAGATAATTTGTCCCGATTGGTGGTGACGTGTGCGTGGATCCGAATTTTCAGTCCCATGCCAACCCACTAATTTTGCACCGCGAATCTACACACACGCAGAGAAGGGCTGAGGTTGTGGGTGAAAAGAGGCTTGAGGGAGCGTGCGTTATGCGAGATGATGATGGTAGAGGTGGTGGTGAAGAGCACCCACTTACGTGTTGGCCTCCCATACCCTCATCGAGAAACTAAAAGGACACAAAACAGTGCAAACACACACGCTCAGCAGTAGACGCGGATGCGGGGTGGTTCCGTCAACGTTTACCTCGGCAGGCGTGTCTTCATTTAAGAGATCCCCTACGGCTGTGTCTACGGATTTCGAAGCTGATTAACACCATTCGTGGTGTCTACCGACAGACTTCGACACCTCTCCCAGCAGTATTCTATCGATCCATCCGTTCAAATCACGCCAGCGGTGGAAGCGGCTTCAACAAACGCGCAACCACCTACATGTGGCCAGTTTGTTCATTGTGAACCAACCAAACAGCATTACAGTAGCAACCTCTTGATGTAGGCACGCAAATCTCAGAATTGGAAATTCGTCGACGATAAGAAACAAATTGGGAGTAGGTGGGGGTATAAAGGGGAACACCACTCACGGTTCCTCGTAGTCAGGGCTGTATTTCTCGGTTTTGCGGTAGAGGTTGATCAGCTTCACGGAGAAGACGATGCCAGGGATGAAGAGGACCAGGCAGAGACCCAGGCCAAACCAGAAACCGTTCTAAAAAAAGGGTATGAGGCGACGTAACACTCAGGAATCGGTGGGGTGGGGGGGGGGGGGGGGCAGGAATGGCGTTACCAGGGGGTTCAGGAGGGTAACGCACACCG